GGGAGTACAAATAACATTGTTTTTCTTTTGGATAATGTTTCTCTCATTGCCCATAAGGAGGAACTTGTCCTTGCTTAGTGATATGGCTCAGCCACAATATGACACGTGTCTCTCTTGTTAAGAATAATTAAAGTGAAAAATAAATGCACTTTTGAGAATATAAGAAAGGATAAGTGTTAGTTTGTGGTTGAGCCACATCAATAGGTGGAGGGAAGCATTATCCTTTTTTTTTTTTTTAATGAAAAACACTTGCTTCATTCCCTGGAAGTCGGAACTCATACTTTCCTACAATTTGACATGTGTAATGAGATTCTTCTTTTTGTGTTTTTGATTAATTATTTTCGCATATGTGTCAAAATTTGATTTTCAAGTAGTATGAATGCTTTTCTCTAGATAAGGAGGGAAGAAGTGTCCTTTCTTTTTTATATCATATTCTATACTTTATTTGAAAGATTTTGAAAAGTAGGATAGCGATCCATTAAATGTAATTATTAAACCAATTGAGTCATATAAAATTGTCACTAACGAAGTAATTAACAACTCTAACGACAAATTGAAGAAATTATCATAATAATCTAATGTTGGATTTGTATAGTAAATGGCGGGAAAACCTTATTGCCCAAAAAACAATAACACTTTTGAACTGTAACGCTTTATCTGCTTTTTAACTTTATCATTGCAATCAAAAATTGAATGAAGTTGACACATGGCATGGTCCAAATTTTGGTCCCAGTAATCCGCTGAAAAGGCAAAGGGGTCCCACCACCAAGCACATGGCGTCCCACACGCCATTCCTGAAGCAAGATGGATTGGGTACAGCTGTGAAGCGACCAAATCAGAAGGGCCAGTGCCAGCCTTGTAGCCGAACGTGCATCGTGCTTCATGTACCCCACCTCCACGTACGCACCCACGTGCTCCCCTTCTAGTATTTAGATAACTTATAAAATGTAAGTTACAACTTACATCGCCCATTATACACCAGGATGTTATATTTAATTCAATTTCTGTGTATTTGATGTATTGCACCTTATCTAATTATAAGAAATTATTGTCGTGTATCTCATAATTACAATTATTTTTTGAAAATTAAGAAACATATCATAGAAAATTGTACTTTGGAATAAAATAAACATGTGTGTCGTAAGCGTGTGTCAAGAGACTAGTTTTAATTATGTATTTTGAATAAATTTAAGTTTATTTATTTATTTTATTATTTTGGGTTGATAAGCTTTAGCATTTGTCTCTAACAATCGAGAGGTCAATTACTGGGCCCCACCACTATTTCTTTCTACCGTCAATTCACTCACACCAGTTTTACGTAAATTGTAAATTTTGGAGCCGGACTACCGGCGGTGGCTGTAGTTTAGTGGTGAGAATTTCACGTTGTGGCCGTGAAGACCTGGGCTCGAATCCCAGCAGCCACATTGTTCGTTTATTTTTTGTTTTTTGTTTTATTTATTTCACGCTGTTTTCTTCATCGTCATCAAGTATTCAGTTTGTACCAAGTACAATTGATTGTCATTCAAAAAACATGTCTTCATGTCGGTTTACATGACTGGATGTGGAACCTTATGCATCATGGTTGTTGTTGAAGACAAAAGCTTGACCAAACCACCACAAAATAATGACTACTCATATTATACCAGCGGACAAGGGACCGTTGTTTTGGCTCAATGTTTTCAATTTATAGCATGTTTGTTTAATAAGAATGTGAGAAGTCATGAATCCGAGGAATCTTGAATTTGTGCTATTAAGGGGAATGCTAACAACATTCTCTCTAATATTTTTCTTTGGACATTCTTCATTTTTTGTTTGACATGAATTATTCTTCTTACACTTAAAACAACGTCATTAATATATTATACATGCTAACTTTTGCTTTCTAAGTTTACCCTTATTAAATATATTCAAAAAAAAATTCACAACTTTCTTACCATCTTATTAAAACAATATCATTAATAAAATTCATACGCCTTGTCATCTGAATGGAATTTCATTTCACTAAAGTCTATGTCTTCATTAATAAAGCTTGCACTCTTAAACATATTAGTGTTATCTTGACTCAGACCATCAACATCTTCTTCAGGCAAATTCAAGTCAATCTCGACTCCCATGGACACTTAACAATATAAGCTTGAGATAAAATATATAGAAGCAAAAGAATAAAAAATCACCAAAATCGAATTGAATATGAAAACATAAATATATTACAGTTTAGATTAACAAAAGAAAAGCGAAAGAAATAACCATCAACCTAAGAAAACACTTCCAAAAGATATCAATTTTCAACAAAATAATACATTAGAAATGAAAAAACCATACCTTTGATCAAGACTTGGAGTGAGAGAAGCTGAAGAGGACACTATAGCTTTTGTGGTTAAGCCTGAGAGTTGAAAAGGCAGAAGCATAGATAAAGCAAAGAGAAGACGATTTAGCTTCAACTAAGGGCAAATATGGAATATAATTATTGGTTTTTCTGTAATTAATAGCATTGGTTTATGGGTAAAGGGGGTGACATATGTCAAGAAAAAAATGAAGAATGTCCAAAGGAGAAGGTTAGAAAGAAAGTTGCTAGCATTCCCCTTATATTAATCGGCCAGTATCGACGAGTTAATTACTTCCATCAATGTTTGGACCATCATCCATTATCCATATATAATTTCATTCTATTTGGGATGTAATTATTTGTTATTATTATAAGTTGCATCATATATTGAGAAAGTCATAATCAACGAATACCTAACGAAACAAAAAGACATTGATTGTTTCATTCTTGTAAATCATAATTTGACGAATATACAATAATAATTCATGAAAATATAGAAGGGAACATACATACGAACATGTCAATTTGAGATTAGTAAGAAACTATCAATTTTTACTTCGAGTATGAAACAAAATACTTTTCTTGATTATAACTAGGATAAACAACATGACTCAAAGTAGAGTTGAAAAAAGGAAGATGGATTTCATTTCGTATGTCAATGTTCCATCTATGAACAACACTCATCTTCATCGTTTAGGTTTTGAGACAATTTGATGTGGCTACTTTTATTTATATATTTATCAACATTGGATGTGGCTATTTGGTAAGGTCCACATTGAATAATAGACAAAAATAAATAGAAAAAACAGTAATTTAAAAGAAAAATCCAGAGGTAATATTCGAGGGTATATCCCGAACGCCAAAACCATGGTTGAGTTGAGAATGGGGTTATCCTTTTTAAGAGATGGTTGATTGGTTGAAAGGATGACCCTAAGAACGACTCTGCGGTTCATAACCTTTTAATTTATTTCTTATCAAAGTATCAACGTCATTTTCGTTAAATTCCTACTTGAATTCGTCTCAAATTTTGCCTCTACCTCCTGCCATGAGTCGGTCCATGCCCAAATAAGTAATATTGTGTATAAATTTCAAACCACCTAGGGAGTACTTGAAGTATGTAAAGACAAGAATTTCAAAGCTTTCATGTATATTTGCCTTAGTAGATTCAAGAACATTCAACTTTATACTGAAGAAGCTAGTGGACAATAAACGTTCAGATAACTAAAAGATTTGTATATAGCATATATCTCCTTCATTTTTCAAGCATTTTGAATGATCACAAAAATTGCACAAATGATAAAACATTCCATTTAGATGAAGGAAAATAACTCGGAATTTAGCTAAAAGTCGGAAATTTAAAAGAAGAAATTGACAATTCCCTTGTTTGGTAACTTAAGTACGAACTTTGAGTCAAAATAAGCTCGCTAAGCCATTATTTACTCAACAAATAAACTATAATACGTATGGAGATATGCACTCCTTGTTTTCATAAATCAAGTTGATCTTATATCTTATGCTTCAATCACAAGCATTCAAGATTTGAATTGTGCAAAAAACACATGCACAAACTATCACACAGAAATGAAATAAAAAAATAAAAAAATTGAATGGAATATTATAAACATCACGAACTTCATGCACGACATTTTAATTTCTTTTTTCAATAAAAATAAATTATCTGTTTGGCCTGCCAATTTCCTATAAATTTTGTGGGTACCAGTTTTAGGTCACATGAATTTTGAAAACATAAAGAAGAATTTCGTTGTAATTGATGATATCTCTTCATTGCTATTTTTTTAAGGAAATAAAAAGATTGGCATTATGTGGCCACTATTTTGGCTTTGATGCTACCACAAAAAGTAACATTAAAAATGGAAATGGCTCCTATCCTTTATCCATTAAAGTATTGATGTGATCTTACCCATTAGGGCATATTGTACAAATTTACTGGTATAAATTCATGTTGGAATCGAAATTTAACAAACCATTTATTAGGTTTGGAACGGCATAAGCGGAAATTTTATAATTTTCCTTATCATTAAATTTCATAGAGGGAAAAAAAATATTGGGGAGGGGGGTGGTGCCATGGCTACTAATGGCCTAGGCCTCCCTCCACCCCTGCATTTAGTTAAGGGACATTTTGGAAAAAGCAAAAGGAAAGAGAAAAATATGTATTTACATTTATTATATCGAGTAGAGATATTTATTGGATTAAAAAAGAAAATGGCATTTTAGGCAACATGCCAAAGGCATCCTTAGAACATAACCAACACACTGCCGTAACGTAACCCCTTATATAATAGTTTTTCACGTTAGCTTATTTGAAATGAGAGAAGTCATCTTACGTTTACTTACTTCTAATAGGAGAGAAGTCATAAATCATGAGAAGTGTATAATTAGAATAATTATGACACAGGTAAGTATACCCCCAGTTTATAAAATTATTTATTTTTGCAAATAAAGAAAATCACACCAAATTATTTTTACTCATATATTTAAATTTTTATATTGTAGCTACAATCTGATCATTCTAGAGACGAACCAGAGATGACAAAACCCAGTGACATCCGCACGTTACGTGTCCCCTTTCACTTATCTACACGTGTCACTACCACAATCCTTTGTGCTCCGCTGTATCAACAGCAACGATACAGAAACGAGAGATTACTATGAGATACGTCGACGCCTCAACCCAAAAATAAAAATTATTTCACTATTTCACAGGCTGTCCACCAATCACGTTCCACTTTCAAATTCCCTTCGAACCGGCAACCGGCTACAGCCGGTTCAAAATCAGTCATCAACTTCAGTATATAGCACCAAACACTATCACTATACTGAGCCAAGAGTGAAGTAGTTTGTGAGTGACCATACGCAGCTTAATTTCTGCAGCGAATCTCCACCGTCGATCTTAATCATTCTCCGACGATGCCGATCCGGAACATTGCCGTTGGCCGTCCCGAGGAGACGTACCACCCGGACGCCTTGAGGGCGGGTCTCGCCGAGTTCATCTCCACGCTGATCTTCGTCTTCGCCGGAGAGGGCTCCGGCATGGCCTTCGCCAAGCTCACCCACGGGGCCGCGACCACGCCAGCAGGCCTCATCGCCGCTTCTCTAGCCCACGGATTCGGCCTCTTTGTCGGCGTAGCCGTCAGTGCCAACATCTCCGGCGGACACGTCAACCCCGCCGTCACCTTCGGCGCCTTCGTCGGCGGCAATATTTCCCTCCTCCGCGGCATCCTCTACTGGATCGCCCAGCTGCTCGGGTCCGCCGTCGCCTGCGGGCTCCTCAAGTTCGCCACCAACTACCAGGTAATTTTATCACTTTCTGGCCGTTTTTGAACTACAAGTTTCTCGTTAAGTTCGTTAATATATCATTTCATACTAAAAGTGGGACTAACGGGTTTTGATTATGTGCTTCGCAGACTACCTCCGCATTTGCTCTCTCCGAGGGGGTTGGGGTTTGGAACGCGTTCGTTTTCGAGATCGTGATGACGTTTGGGTTGGTGTACACGGTGTACGCCACAGCCATTGACCCGAAGAGAGGCAGCGTGGGAACAATCGCGCCGATCGCGATCGGTTTGGTAGTTGGCGCGAACGTTTTGGCGGGTGGGGCTTTCGATGGAGCATCCATGAACCCGGCCGTTTCATTCGGGCCGGCTTTGGTGAGCTGGAGCTGGCATAACCACTGGGTGTACTGGGCCGGGCCTTTGATCGGCGGTGGGGTTGCTGGGCTTATTTACGCGGCCGCCTTCATCGGCAACTCTGGGCACGACGCCCTCCCGACCGCTGATTACTAATTAATTAAGCCTTAATTAAGCCCTAATTAAGATTCAATCAAAAGATTTGCATGCATGATGGATCTTCACTTGTTTTTATGAGGGTTTTGTACCTTTTCTTGTGTTTTATTTCATCAAGAAAGATCATGATCGTTCATCATGAGTTCGTTGCCACCGTTGATTTGTATTTGTTTCGAATTTGCATGCTCCGGTTGTATGATTAATTTAATTTATCTTTTTTATTATTATTTAATTTTCTTTAATTTATTGAAGATGCTCTTCTTCTTACTTCTTTTTTCTGTTTTTAATTTGGACCTACGTGGCCACGCGTCATATGATCGAGATAGGGTGGGGTTGGATTAAACAGTTAAATCTAGAATGTGCTTGATTTTGGTAGTTTTTACCTTCCCCTTAAAGTGGAAAACTACTGTTCCTGCATGTGATTGATTTGGCCCTGCCGACACCAACCATTCGCCAATAGTAGTAGTAGTAGTAGTTGATCGGGGGAATGTACATGCATGAGTAATGATAAGAATCATAATTTTAGACCAATAAATTACGTATATTATGTCACACCAAATATTTTGACTAATGAGGACATTCTTTTTAATAAACATGAGATTTGAATTTATAATTTCTTTCAATATTTTAGTCGGCAACTAAGTACGTTAATGATATATATGATTATCACGTGCTGGATAATCTGATTAATTACTTATAATACGATCTAATGATTTATTTAGAAGATTAATTTCCTCGTCCAAGATGTTACTAATTACAAGTAGTTTGGTTTATTTCTTCCAATGTTTTAGTCGGCAACTAAGTACGTTGCTGATACGTATCATTATCACGTGTTGGATAATTTGATTAATTACTTACAATACGATCTAATGATTTGTTTAGAAGATTAATTTCCTCGCCCAAGAAATTACTAATTAGAAGTAATTAAATCAAACTAGCTAATACAATACTCTGGTAGAGAACTATTTTACATGTGACTACTAGGAGCCTATATGACATATAAATACAAATATTATTATGTAAACTATAGGCAATATTATTATTATTTATGCATGCGTATTCAATCGTGTGGTGTGGATCTTGGAAAAGGGATATTGAAATTGATTGATCTCAACATTTTTTTGGGTGGTTGGGTTTTCATGTGAAGAGCACGAGAGGCGTGTGTTTCACGTTGAAAGACTGCTAGAGGAGACCAGACTACCCATATGAAACGAATGTGATCAACTTAAATATTAGAGGAATGGCATGACCTACTTTCATTTCATAGAGATTCCTCCTCGTCAGCATCATTCATGAAAAAAGGAAAAAATAAAAAAGAAGATGAAGAGCACATGATAATTTTTGTGGACCATATTTTTATATCTTGTCCTTTTTAATCTGCATCTTTTGGCCACCTTTGTGGCCCGGTGCTATCGTTTTCAAACCCGAAAGGTGCCCCGCTCTCCCTCTCTCTCTCTCTCTCTCTCTCTCTCTCTCTCTCTCGCGTAATTGTTCTGGTTCTCACTGTGCGAACGTTGGCCAAGACGTGGTTTCAAGCTGACCACACAACTTGCAGTGCTACCTTTCAATTTCATAGGATCTCCTAAAGAAGATTTGGGGTCCCATGGCTCACCGTCCATTCTGGTTTTCTATTTTCTTATCCCACGGTTTATAAATAGTTTTTACTTTTTCAAATGGTAATGTTGATTTCTTGCCAAACTTTATGTTACCACAAAAATATTTATATGCATATTGACAGACTATGAATCCGAATCACCCACGCAATCAAATAAAAATTCGTATGATCAATATCAAAACTCAAGTCACATATTTAAATAAGCACCAACATGATTAATGATCGAGATTGATATTCTCATGTTGTGTAAACGAGTGAAGAAGAAACTCACTGAAGCACACAATACAATATTAGTGAAACTTTGCGGTGGACTGATTGATTGACGACACAAAGCTGCTGGAAAAGTAATTTATTTTTTCTTCTGACCCAAATGAAGCCTTTGGCTCTTAGCCAGTTATGTCGAACCAGTTGCAACTGGAGACTGCACCATGGATTGGCTTCTCACGTGGTTTTGACGTGACCTGTCCCTACCCAGTTTGCTACAATTATTATTAACAAAACGTGAGAAAAGTTTGGTAGAGGTTGGGGATGATGATGATAATGAACAAATGTCTGTTTGTGTTGAAATATTGAGGGACTTTATATGATTAAGGAAGCTGTCTGGAGTACTGAGTACAATGGTTTGTGGTACGTGTGGTGCCTGAGTTGTTATGGTGGGAAAATTATCGTGGTCGCAAGAACAATTTTAATTAGTCTAGTGTTCTGTTTTTTTTTTTTTCTGCCAAAGTTAGGAAGGGGATGGGGAAAACTCACGGATACGAATACTGTAGGGGTAATGCTTGGGTCAATCAATCTAACACCCCATGAGTGCTATATATCTTAGTTTAATCAATTGAAATAAAAATTAGACAGATGACATGTTTATTTATTTAAATTATACAGGGATATTACGAGACTTTCATATTAAAATTCATAATTTAATATCCAAAAAACCGTGAATTAGATTGACTAGGAGAGAATGGTCGATTTGAGAGGTGGAGGCACTCATGGGCTAGTAGTGACCCCGAAAATATTGCTAGGAAACTCTCATATTTAAGTTATCGGCCCCTCTAAACATGTGTACGGATGTGAAATTTGTTAAACTTGTGTAAAAATCAATCCAACTAAAGCTTGTTATTTATATTTTGGCTCCCCAGAATTTAAAATCTTAGCTCCGGCCATGCACGATCCCGACTTATTCATTATTCTCTCCACTTTCCCTCTTCATGAGATGACTTCCCATATTCCAAGCAAGTAAACACGCCATAAATGCAAATAGTCGCCAACCCACGGCTCGAGAGTGCGAGGCGAGGTCAAGATTGGAGCTGAAGTCCGAATGCGGGACTTAGGACTCGAGTCCAAAGCTTGGATTATGGGCCCGTGGTCTTAGACCTCTGAGCTCGGACCAGCCCACCAATGATTCTTGTTTGCTCACTCAGAATCTGATGAACATTGGTCGAAAATGCCACACTAAAAATGGGCTGGGCTCTTCCAATAACTGCACGAACGGAGGGTGCCTCCAAACTCAGAAAGGCCCAAATGAATTATTGTTGGGTTGGGTTGCTATCACGTGGCCACGCAAGCATAGACTGGATAACGCTCACGTCATTAACCACGTGGATATATACAAATGTCCCGAACCCCAAAGTTAGCCGACACGTCGTCAAACAAAACCGCTGTTCTCTAAAAACGTTTTCTAAATTCTAAATACTGTGTGCCCGCCAAACGACAAACAGCATGTTGATTTCGGGACCAGGCGTTTTCCAGATCCGGAGACCCGCGTCAGCAAAGCCCAACAAACCTATCCTATCCGAATCCAATACGACTCTCATTATTTCCATGAACACATAAAAATATCCCAAAATGGGTAATTTTCACTGCCTAAAATACCCTCCTAATTTTGCCTTGCATAACTAACTCACTCAGTTCTACTCGTAAAATCACACACCTCCTTTCCATTCCCGCCAACTATTTAGACCTACACAACCATTACTCATTTAACTAATCTTTTTCGTTTTTAATGTGAATTAAGTCAGTTAGTCAAGATAACATGTCTGTCTCATTACATTTGAGTTTAATTTTTATTTTATAATGAAAAACCTTCTTCACAATTACTGAAATCCCAATCTCATCAACCATCCCGGCACACCCAAGCACCCAAACGACGGCGTATTGGGGTCCCTTGGAAGCCAAATAATCGAAAGATATCAACTTTGTAATCATATGATTAAGACCCCTAATCAGTTGGGTGCAATTATTACATTTATTTAGGATTAGATTAGACCGGCAAACGCTGCTGTGTCGCCTCGTCAGCACTTTTATTATTCCCGCAAAGGAAATATCAATCCAGTTGAATAAAGCATCTCATTTTCTCAGGGGGCTTTCGTCAGTTTTGTTGCTTACTTGAAACTTGAAAGCATTGCATAGGTAGGCCTTTGTCCTTTGGCCTTCCTCTCTCTCTCCTTTTATCTTCGCCATTTTCACAATTTTCTTCAAGCTTCAGTCTTATTCTTCTGGGTATCATAGTAGTTAAGTAGCATTTGAGAATGGAGAGCGGATCCGAGACCCAGATGGATTTGAACAACAACACTTCTCATCAGAATGATCACTCTATCATGGAGATGGGATCTGGGAATTTCGGGTATTCATCTATAAATTTGTTTTTGTTAAAAAAGAATTGATTTTTTTGAGCTGAAGTTTTGATTTTTGTTGTTTCTGGTAAATGAATTTAAAGGTGCGCCCATTATAGACGGAGGTGCAAGATCAGAGCACCTTGCTGTGATGAGATATTCGATTGCAGGCATTGCCATAACGAATCCAAGGTCAGTGTTTTTTTTTTTTTGGAATGGTTTTTGTTTTAACTTTGATTAATATTGATAAGCATGTTATAATTTGGGTGTCTTTGTTTTTGGAGCAGAATACATTGGAAGTTGATCCTCTTGATCGCCATGACGTTCCTCGCCATGATGTGAAAAGGGTTAGTTGCGTTTACTGTCTCTGATTCATAGCAGCTTAGTTTTAAAAAAGGAATGGGAAATAGAATTAGAAACTGTGGCCTTTTTATTTTTCAAGTAGATTTGATTTTATCCGGATTTTGCTGGATATAAATTTACTTTTATTTACTTTCCATTTATATCTGCTTGTGCTGTCTGAGCGTTAAAGGGTTCACATCAAAAGATCTGAACTTTATGGATAAGGTTCAGAGCATCTATCTTTTGTTTCTCTATGGACTGTTGATTACTTGCACGTATTATGCCAACTTGAAATAGTCATTTTCTTTTCTTTCCTTTTATTTTCTCCCCTCTCCCTACCCTTTTCATTTTAAGTTTATGTTGAATAATTAAAAAGTTTCACTTTGTTTGCCTTGTATGGTTCAGGTCATCTGCTCCTTGTGCAATACAGAACAAGATGTAAGCCTTCTTGGAGGAAACTCTGATAATTGTATTATTAATTATAAATTGAAGGATGAGGTTAATGACTTCTCTAGTTCTGATATCCTTTCAGGTTCAACAGCACTGTATCCAATGCGGCGTTTGCATGGGGAACTATTTTTGCCCCAAATGCAAGTTCTTTGATGACGATGTAAGCCTCTGAGTTCTTACCTAATAAAAAAAGGGAGCGTCTTAAGTTCATATCCTCATAAATACGAAACCCTGTTTCAAATGCACTTTTTCTTATTCTAAAATTGGTAGGTTTTGAAAAAAACAGTTCCTTTGTGATGAATGTGTTATTAGAAATTCACTTTTTCTTATTCTAAAATTTGTAGGTTTCGAAAAAACAATACCATTGTGACGAATGCGGTATCTGCAGGTTAGACATTTTTCTGCACGTTTTCGTTGTTCCCTTCAGTTGTTTGTCTTTTCTTTGTTTTTAAATTTTCTTTTAATAAATATGCGTTACATTTCATAATCTTACGTCAGTAAAGCTTTTTCATTGATAAAACATTCGCACGTGTCTAAGTTTGTTTGAATTGGTATTACAGAACTGGAGGCGAGCAGAATTTTTTCCACTGTAACAAATGTGGTAAGATGTTAACCCTGTTTTTTCATTAATTTTTCATTGTTTTAATCATTTTTTTATTTATAATAGTCTAAATTGGAATATCTCTATCTGTGTTTTAGAATGTTGTTACTCAAAAGTGTTGAAGGATTCACACAATTGTGTGGAGAAAGCAATGCATCATAATTGTCCTGTGTGCTTTGAGGTAAAGTTTGGAGTTTGCTATGCCCAAGTATTATCCTGTTTGCTGCTTTATGGTGCGCCAACTCACATTGGTTACTTGTGCAGTTTCTTTTCGACACAAGGGCAGACATTACTGTCTTGCTATGTGGACACACTATACATTTGGAATGTGTAAAAGAGATGGAGCGACATTGCCAGTAATTCCTTTTTTCTCTGCACACTATCTCTCTCTCTCTCTCTCTCTCTCTCTCTCTCTATATATATATATATATATATATACACACATATAAAAGGATTATCTGATATAAATCGTTAGTAATAAATGTAATGAAAGGATTATCTGATATAAATCGTTAGTATAAAGTGTAATGAAACAATAGCCCCATAGTAATTGTATACAACTTTGCAGGTATTCATGCCCGGTTTGCTCAAAATCATATCGCGATATGTCCCGTGTGTGGGAAAAACTTGATCAGGAGGTAAATCTATGATTCGATGATTCAATGTAACGATATGAGTCACATGACTGCCTGTCATTTCTAGTTTACTAATCTCTTTCAAATTAAATATCAGATTGCTGCAACTCCCATGCCTCAAATGTATCAAAATAAGGTGGTAAGTATACACATATAATTACTATCTTTGATTTCTCCAACTATTGGGTAATTAAATTCCGCATACACTTTTTGTATGGTTAGGTTTGGATCCTCTGCAATGATTGTGGGCAAACATCAGAGGTAAATTTCCACATTGTAGCACACAAGTGCCTGAAATGCAACTCCTACAATACAAGGCAAACACAAGGAGGGCCAGCCTCATGCTCATCAAGGATTACAGATATGGTGAGATGAATGAGTTCAATACATCAAAATTTGTGATGTATTACTTCCTAAATTGTATCACAAAAGGAAGCTTTTAGTTGTGGCAAAGGAGGGAAAATTAGTAGTGCCAGTCCCTTTACTAGTTTCTTTGTAGGTTTAATTGTGCAAAACATTGGCTCATATTTGAGCCAATTTCTATATGCCACGTAGGGTCAGCAGGTTGTATTTGAAAGTATGGGAAAACATTGTATGAAGCTTCATCAATGGAAAATGTTTCAACATATAACAAAGATATCATGATATCAATTTGTAATTCAATTGCAAATAGGTTTGCAACTTCAAAAGTACATATAAATTGAATGAAGAGACAATGAATTAGAGTGGAGCAAAACTGAAGACAATCATTGACTCCTGAGATAGGCTTGCCCACACAGCTTCTGAAGTTCATATAGAACTTTTCAAGATGGGTTTCTTAATCAACATTGTGCAAGGACTAATTAGGACATCGGAAATGTAAAATTTGTTTTCTTTTCCAATCATGGAAGTCGTTAGTTTTTCAACTTGACAAACGATGAACCGTGAAGCTTGACCTGCCGGCCATTGAGAGGTTGTACTGGTCTTGCATTCAACTCTGCAAACTGTATTCATGTTGATCAACATAAGGAGTTAATTTGTGCTCCGGATACTATCATTTCAAAGTTAAATCAGAAGAACTCACTTCAGAAAGATGGGTAGGTTACTTACATTGAAAACGGCTTGTTGAAGCAACTTCACTTGTGCTATTGAAACAGTATGTACCTGAGGACAGTTTTATTTAGGGCAACTTCACTTGTGATATTAAACCAACATGTGAATTTACAGGAGTTGGAAAAAATTTCCGGGCTGATGAAGTTGGCTGTACCTGTTTGTTTATGGTCCAAGTTACTCCTTCACTGCAAGGAGGGGTTGTGAATGATCCACTGTATCTGTAAAATTTCGAGCTAGCCTTTTTCATCTGCCTCTTTTTCAGGTCCTGAAACCCGATCTTAGCCTTCTTCATCTTCCTCGGATCAATCACTCCCAGTTGTACATCCTTCTCTACATCCATCATTGATGCTATCGCCTTTCTGACCTGAAAGTAGAAATAACACCATTGATCTCCTATATCTGTCTTTCCTAATTGAACCAAAACAAGTTTTTACCACAAAAAATTTAATGCTTTTTCTGACCTTTGAGATGAAAGGATTTGGTTGGCCAATTTTGTAGAGGAAGCCAACCACAGCTACATCACTGTTGTTCTTGGCTCTGTGAACCATGTGCAATTCCACATCATACCTTTTGCCATCAATGGAATGCTCTGAGGGGGCGTGCCAATGGCATTGTCTGAGGTTGTATTCTTTGCCATTGATACTGATTGATCCAGCATCACCGTCCCATACAACCTGCATCAAAATTACAACACAAGCAGTCGAAAATCATGCCTTCATTATTGTTCATAAAACAAGTTAAACAAGATTTTCACTTCCTTACCGAGATAGCATGACCTTCATTCTTCAGAATGGCTTTTGTAGGCTTATAACTGATTTTAAAATGCTCTAAACTTGAGTTCACTTTGGTGGCAATCCCATCCCTTAAATCTATGGGTGATTGGGCTTTGCCATTCTTGCATGTCATCCATTCTTTCTTAAGGTCTCCCCAGTGTTCTGGTCCTTTCTTGCTCCCTGCCTTAAATTCAAATTCTAATTTACGCCCTGCACCTAAAAACCCAAATTCAGTAAATTATGATGAAGAAGAAGAATAAGAAGAAGAAGAAGGTGCAAGTTTCTATATATTTATGCATTTGGCATTACCAGAAACTTCAGCACTAGTTGGTGTTGGGTCCAAGCACAGAAGAAAAAATGTAAAAAAAATTAACCCAAGATGGATTTGCTTTGATCCAGCCATCTTTTACAGCCAATTATTGCAGCTAGGATGCAAATGGCTATACCCAACAGGATGGATGCCTCCTGCTCCTGTTAGGTATTTTATATAGCAATGTTCAATTCCTTGATCAATGTGTATGAGATATAAATCACTTTTATGCACTTCTAATTTGCCTTTGTTGGCATTGGAATCCTTCTACATTTTGGGGTAATTATACCATTTTTTCTTGGAAAGTTTGGAAGTTGCATTAACAGAATTTGATCAATTCAATACAGCCAGTCTGGCCACTAATTTTTTTTTAACTCCTTGATTTAGGTGTTCTATCTCTCTTTCGATCTATCAAACACTAAAAGTATGGAATATTTTTCTGTCTATATACAAAAAGTACTATAAATAGAAACAAGAAGTTGGTGCAATCCTACTTATAATTAGCCCTAGATTTATGGGATCCAAAAATTTTTAGAACGCAGAATGAAAAAAAAAAGACACAAAAATTTGCCGATGGCTTTGTAATTTTGTTTTGCTTTGACTAAAAACTAACAACGACACCGGTGCAAACAACACGTCTACAACAAAATTCTTTTCGCGAAAAATATGTTGTATGTTGGCCTCAAGGAACTAATCATGTCAAACACAGAGTGTCCTTAACCAACGAAAATAACTGTGGAGGCAAACGAGCACAACTCAAAATAGCATCAACTGTTGAGTCAGAGATTTTCATGTTTCTTGGTGTCCAAGTTTCTATGGAGTTACTCCTTGAGAATGTAATCTGTCCATGGAATTTATTTTCGGTTCAAAATTGAAGACGCCATAGACATTCTAAAGAACATAAAGAATTTTCCAAGCTGGGATGCTTAACATATATGTGCAAGCACTAATTTATTACAGCAAAGAATGCTAACTTTTTATTTTCATTTCAATCATGGATGTTGCTAGTTTTGAAACACTGGCTGTCTTAACAACGGGCTGTAGAGGATGATGTCTCGGTCGTTGAAAGGCTGTGATGGTCTTGCGTTCATCTTTGCATACTGCGTTCAGGTTAAAGAACACAAGTTAAATAGGTGATCAAAATTGATACTTTAATGTAGTTAGTTCTAACAGAGGAATCACATAACGAAGACAAGGTTACTTACATCATGAACAGCTTGTTTAAGTAACTCCAGTTGTTCTTTCGAAACAGTATTTACCTGAGGGCAAATTATCAAAATGTGAATTTACAAGAGTTCAAGAAATGTTCATGGCAGATGAAGAGGTTTTACCATTTCGTTTACGGTCCAAATAACTCCTTCAGTGCAAGGAGGGGTTGTGAGTGAGCCAATGTATCTGTAAAATTTTAAGCTGCTCCATTTTATCTCACTTGGATCAGTCAGTTCGAGTTGTGTCTCCTTTGTAAAAATCATAGACTCTAAGCCGTTGTGCACCTGAAAATTGGAATATATATAGTTGAAAAAGTAACTCCTTTGAGCTCCTATAATTTGTTTTACATATATGTTTTGAGTCTTTTTACCTTTGAGAGAAGAGGATTGGGGCTGCCAATTTTGAATAGAAGTGCAACTACAGCTTTATTGTTCGGGTCCGGACTTTGGTGAAGCATGTGCAGCTCCAAATCATACCTAATAAGTAACTCTTCAGACATTGATCAAACAATTTGCATTTTTAAGGCAGAGGAGCTGAGATAGAGAAAGAGAGAGACCTTATGCCATTAATGGAATGCTCAGAGGGGGTGTGCCAATGGCATTGCTTGAGGAAGTAATCTGTGCCATTGATTTTGACTGATCCAGCATCACCCTCCCACTCCATCTGCATCAATTGAATATAATACAAAGAAATGAAAATTGCAGCACTATGAATGTCTCTTAAAATATGTTTTTGTTTTTGGTGACAAGTTAAACATTTCCATACAGCATATGTAGTAAAATTCATAAGACCTTGAATGCACATTTGAAAAAAAACAATAAATTAACTCAATGAGATTTTTAATTTTCCCACCGCGATATAGTGGCCTTCGTTCTTCATGGTTGCATTGCAGGGCTTGTAACTCATTTGAAGATCCTCTAAACTTGGGATCACTTTGGTGGCACGGTCATCCGATAAATCTATTGGTGATTGTAATTTTCCATACTTGCATGCTGCCCATTCTTTCTTAAGCTCTCCCCAGTGTTCTGGTCCCTTCTCATTCCCATTCCTATAATCAAACTGTATTTCTTGACCTGCACCAAAAACCCAATGGCTGTGATCATGATGAAGCTGGTAAATGAGATGAGTGCAAGAAGTAAATATATTTGGCATTACCAACAACTTGGTCTCCAATTGGTATTTGGTGCCAGTAGAGAAGAAACAAAGAAAATACAAGGAACTGAAGATGGGCTTGCTTTGATTCAAACATCATTCACAGACAACAGCCACTAAAATCATACAAATGTTAAGACAGAGGAGCCTCTGTTCTTTGTTTGAAATTGCTACAATGAAGAATGATAGAATGATGCACTATGAGCCTATGCCTATATACAATTTACCGGATCTAGATGTGGAAAAAAAAAAATCATACATCATCCCTCTAGTCATATCTTTGTAATACTAATCACTTTTATTGCATACTAGAATGGGGTTTGAATGATTTCGAAATTTGATGACGCTCAACAGCTAGGACATGCATGCATCTGTGGTTTGCATGCAAAAGTACTTTCACTCCCTACCATGGAGAAGTTTATGTGACCTAATAGCACCACGTGGTGTTATTAATCCACGTATTAAACATGTTAACTTCTCGGTGTCTCGCTGTATCGTCTGATACAGTTGCATTTTGAGAAAACCTCTTAACGAGTTGGACTCCCTCTTGGTGGAAATTAGAAAGAATCATCAGTCTCTGCTAACTAAGGTATCTGTTAATAAATGTGGATATGTCCCAATCTTGCCCTTTTATTTTTTGGAAAGTCTTTATCTCTGTTGGCAGCGGAAAGATTTACCTCAATTCTTTCCTAGATTCATTTTGAATTTTCTTCTCATTTTATTTTTATAAGTTGGTACATTGTACTTTGTAGTGCCAGTGGATAGCATTTGGAAAGATAAAATGATTTCAATCCATTTACAACAATTCAACGTTGATGGAAAATTTCATAAAATGTTGACATTCATTCTAATTCTGTTTTTGACTGAAAACTAGCTTAGGGACTTGGCAATGAGAAAGACCTGGAGTTGGAAATAGTTTGTGTTCATGATGCAGCACAAAAGCACGGGTTTAAGGATCGACAAACGTCTAAACCGGAAAAAATAAACTGAAATCCATCAGCAATTGGAATCCACCAGAAAATAGAGAAATCTCTAAATTTTGATTAATAATATGATAAAACTAATTAATACAATGCCATGAGTCGGCTTGAATAGAAAACAAAGAAACACTAGGTTATAGAATATTCCTAAAACTTAATTAATAAGAAAATAATTTAATTCATAATTAAAATTATATTAGGAAAATAATATCCTGATTGATAACTAATCTAGAAATATAAATATAATATAGATCTTCACAAGAAATCAAGCAACCCGAAAATCCCAGTGATACACATTCCTTCTTTTCCTAGCGCCATAATTGATGCTCATGCATGATTTTCCATATTTTCAAGCCCAATTTTCTGATTTTGAAATTTCCCTCTTTTTCAAATTTCCTTCGTAGGAATAAACACATAATTTGTCCTACATCAGTTCAGAACTTCCATTGTCCTTGCTTTAGTAGCTTGGAGGTAATCTAAGGACTTTCTCAGTATGCAGCCACCACTGGCGACAATGGAGGCCGATGTGGTTAGTTACACTTGTCTCACTGGCGGAACGATGAGAACGATGAGCCATGGAGCTTGATATCCCGGCCATTAAGAGGTTGTAGTGGTCTTGCATTCATCATTGCATACTGAACTCAAGGTAATCAACAGAAAAAGTTATTATATGCTCAAAAATGGATATTTTGATATGCTTTTTGGTGGACATTATCATTTCAAAGAATCTGTTGCACAAGAATCACTTCACAACGACAAGTTTTACTTACATCGAAAACGACTTGTTGAAGAAGCTTCACTTGTGATTTTGAAACAGAAAGTACCTGAGGACAGTTTATAATTAGCTTCTCATTTTTGGCTACTGAAATGTGAAATTACAGGAGCAGGAAAAATTTTCAGGGCTGATGAAGTTGGTTGTACCTGTTTGTTTATGGTCCAAGTAACTCCTTCAGTGCAAGGAGGGGTTGTGAGTGAGCCCATGTATCTGTAAAATTTCGAGCTAGCCTTTCTCATCTTCCTCTTTTTCGCGTCTTGAAACCCCGTCTGAGCCGCCTTCATCTTCCTCGGATCAATCACTCCCAGTTGTACATCCCTTCCTACATCAGTCATAGATGCTATCTCCTTTGTCACCTGAAAGTTGGAACAACACAATTGATCTCCTATATTCCTCTTCTCTAATTTAACTGAAACGAGTTTTTAGCACATAAATTTTGAAGGATTTTACCCCAGAGAGAAACGGATTGGGTTTGCCAATTTTGTAGAGGAATCCAACCACAGCGACATTGTTGTTCTTGGCTCTGTGAACCATGTGCAATTCCAAATCATACCTTCTGCCATTAATGGAATGCTCAGAGGGTGAGTGCCAATGGCATTGTCTGAGGATGTAATCTGTGCCATTGATACTAATTGATCCAGCATCACCTTCCCACGCAATCTGCATCAAATTACAACACAAGCAGTAAAAATTCATGTCTGAATTTGTACATAAACAAGTATTAAAGCAGAATTTTTCACTTTCTTACCGCAATAACAGGACCTTCGTTCTCGATCATGGCTTTGGCAGGCTTATAACTGACTTTAAAATGCTCTAAACTTGAGTTTACTTTGGTGGCAATCCCATCCCTTAAATCTATTGGTGATTGTGATTTTCCATCCTTGCATGTTTTCCATTCTTTCTTAAGCTCTCCCCAGTGCCCTGGCCCTTTCTTGCTCCCTGCCTTATATTCAAATTCTATTGCATTCTCTGCACACAAAAACCCCAAACTCAATAAATTATGATGAAGAAGAATAAGAGAAGAATGTAAGTTTATATATGTATGTATGTATTTGACATTACCAGAATGTTCAGCTCTAAGGGGTGTCGGGTTCCGGCACAGAAGAAAAAATGTAGCAACAAGTAACCCAAGATGGATTCGCTTTGATCCAGCCATCTTTCACAGCCAACAACACTTGAGTTTCAAATTGCTACCACTCAAAAGCCTCCTCCTGTTGAGGTTTATATAGCAATGTTCAATTCCGGTTACAGAATTTGAATGTGGAAACAAATCACAGCTTTCTCCACTTTTAAGCAATTATATAATTTACCTTTCTTGGCATTGCAATTATACGTTGTTAATGGAAATTTAAGAAGTTGTATTAACTCCTTGATTTATGTAAGCCCTCTCTTACACTAGTATTGAAGATTTTTCTGTCTATATATAAAAGAGTTACTATATATAGAAAATAAGAAGTTTTGGTGCAGTTTTTTTTGTAGTGATTAAGCAAGCATATCCTCATAATTAGCGCTAGATTTTGGGGGATTTATACACTTTTCTACACTTTTCTAGAACGTCTTGGTACAGAGAACAAAAAATAAAAATTAAGACAAATGACTTGGTAATTTTTTTTGTTTTGCTGTGACTAAAAACTAATGCTGACATCCACGCAAACATGTCTACAGCAGAATTAGTTTCACGAAAAATATGTTGTAAGTTCACCTTAAGGAACTAACCAAATCAAACAGAGCATGTTGAAATTAACGGAATTGAGATGTGTGCTTTCTGATCTATCATAAAACAAGTCCACTTTACCAACGGATAGTTTTAGTACATTTTTCATAAACATTGTGAAGAACATATAGAATCTTCCAGGCTTGTATGCATGTAATTTATTATTATCATGGACATCACATTGTTCGCAAGAAATATAAAACGAGTAATTATACCACGTGATGATCATACTATCGTACTATTCTTTAATTTCTCAAATAGAACAACGCAAACTCACAATTGATAGATACAACAAATTCATGCCACAATTTCTCATAAATTTCATAAATTCAACAAACTAACACAGGAATTACAAGGCTACGCTTATATAGCACGCAAACCTCACTATTAAAAAAAGTAGAAAAGAGAAAACAATAAAGGAAAATAATACAATATATCTTCTTTCTAATTATCAAATAAAAAAAATCAGTAATTTAGAGAAGATATGCGAAGATACACACTGTTATATGCGTAAATAATCTGAGAGATTGCTTAGGGCTTTGGTTACCCCCTGGGTGACTTGGTTTTGGTGCATTATTTGAGCCAGATTCCTTGGGGCTTTGTGCACTAACTGCCCTATATTGCTTGGGGCGGTGGTTGCCCTCATGGGGGCTTGGTGCATCACTTAACGACAGGCCATAGTGCTTGATTTCTCGGTCATTGAGAGGTTGTAATGGTCTTGTATTCATCTTTGCATACTGCATTCAAGTTAAGCAACAGTAGAAATTAATTTGCGTGAAAAATTGTTACTTCGATGATAGGTACTGATCGTTTGAAAGACACTACTCTCGTGAGTTTTCACTTTCTTGAAGTAGGTCATCAGTTCAAATCTCATAGACACCGGTAGATGAATATGAAGAAAACAAAAATCGAGGAATCAATTAACGAAGATAAGGTTACTTACATCATGCACAGCTTCTTGAAGTAACTCCACTTGATCTCTTGAAACATGTTTTACCTGAGGGCAGTTTATGATAAGCTAAGTCTCTCATAATTTTTTCCCCTAAAAAGGATATGAAGAAATGCTAATTAAGTAATTGGGGCTGATGAAGAGGTTTTGTACCCTTTCGTTTATGGTCCAAATAACTCCTTCAGTGCAAGGACGGGATGTGAGTTATCCAATGTATCTGTAAAAACTGAAGCTAGTCCATTTTATTTCCCTTGGATCAATCACTCCTAAGTGTACCTCCTTTGTAGCAACCTCAGACATTATATCTTTGTTCACCTGAAAATTGTAATAGTTGGAATAACACCATTCATCTCCTATAGTTTCTTTTATACAATTGTGTTAATCTTGAGGCCTTTTAATTACCTTTGAGAGAAAAAGGTTGGGGTTGCCAATGTGGTATAGAAATGCGAGTACAGCAATACTGTTCTTTATTTTCGGGTCGGTGCTTTGATGAACCATGTGCAGTTCCAGATCATACCTAATGAAGAGACTCTTTAGACATTGAAGAAACATTTTGGATTTTTAAGACAAAGGAAATGAGGGAGAGAAGGTGAGACCTTATGCCATTAATGGAATGCTCAGAGGGGGTGTGCCAATGACATTGTTTGAAGAAGTATTCTGTGCCGTTGATTTTGATTGATCCAGCATCACCTTCCCATTCGATCTGCACCAATTGAATACAATACAGAATCAAGAAAGAAATGGACAAAGGAAGAAGTTTTCTTATAGCAAAAAGATTACAAAACCAAAGCTCTGTTTGTAACAATGTGAAAAGCAACACACTAATATTTAGTGTCAACATACTTAGGACCAATGAACTATTGAATAATTGAAATAAGGTAGTGTAAAAAAATGAAATATTCAGCATTAATTAACGACATCATTTAGTCTGAATCTTGGATTCAAATCTCACGAACGATAGTTGTTCAATAAATAAATAATACCATTATCCACATCTCAACCAAAAGAAAACTCAATCGGATTTTCAATTTCTCACCGCAAGATAGTGACCTTCATTCTTGACAGTTGCATTTGAAGGCTTATAACTCATTTTAAGATCCTCTAAACTTGGGGTCGTTTTGGTGGCATGATCATCCGACAAACCTATTGGTGATTGAAATTTCCCATCCTTACATCGTGCCCATTCTTTCTTAAGCTCTCCCCAGTGTTCTGGTCTCTTCTTACTCCCCTCCTTATAATCAAACTCATGCTCTGCACCAAAAACCCAAATTCAATATAAAATGTGATAATGGTTATATTGCTCTTGATAATGATATCAATCCAAGCATATATATTGCATTACCAGCTTCTTTAGCTCTAATCCGTGTTGGATGCCAGTAGAGAAGAAAAAAAGTAAAAACTAAGAGCTGAAGATGGGCTTGCTTTGATTCAACCATCATTCACAGCTGAAAGAAAGCAATTAAGCTTATGCAAATGTTAAGACAATGTTGATGAACTGTGAGTGTATGGATAGTGAAATTTACGGAGATTTCCTCAATCACACATGGCAGAAATCACTGTATAAGTAACAGGATCTAGATGTGGAAAGAAATCAGATATCCCTTTACCCTAATGTTATCCCCTTTGTTGGTTTTAAATCCATGTCACCTATATTAGATGCTAATTATAAGTGACATCGCCTTGACTTGTTCACTTGAAATTAAAAGTACTATATATAGACATGAGAATTTGCCAACAACCAATCAGCTCAGGCTGGATCCAGAGTCCCAATTTATATTTTTATTTTCTAAGGGACAAAGAAAATAAAATCAAAAAAAGATACACAAAAATTTGCCAATTACTTGGTGGTTGTTTTTTTCTGTCTTTTTTTTTTCTTTCTCCCTAGAACGATTGGATAATAGATCAATCATCATCAACAGGTCATCTTCTCCTTCCCTAAGGAAACTCCATAATGACGTGATGCCAGATACTTATATGATATCACTCTTTTAGAAATGGGGTTTGAATGATTTCGATATTCGATTAGGTTCAACGGCTAGTCCCATGCGATTTTAGGCCATTGGATGAAAGTTTGATGGAGCTTCTTGAAACAATAATAAGAAGAAAAAAAAATCAAAATAGTTCATGATAGATATTATATTCGTGACATTATTAATTTATATCATATTTGGCAAATTACCCCATATGATTGGGAAGTAAGGATATAGTGTCCTATACTAGTCCATTTTTAACAATTATTAAGGCATGGTTTTTCTTTTTGATGCATATGAACGTATGAAATTTCAGACAAATTAATACTTTGAATTATCATTTGTGATGCCATTATAAATTAGGAACCCCAACTAGAAACAGATACATTGAACAACAGAGGAAATTCAAGCATAGACAGTAGCGTGGTTTAAACTAACATAACATGTTTAACGTGTCACAGTGATATATGGAGCACATTGAAGTCCATATATGTGTTCCAAATTTTATTTTTACAAATCAGATATAACAAGTGAACAATTGTTTTTTTCTTTCTCCATCTTGTTGTGAGCTAATTATATAAGTTTGTGAGTCCACTAGGGTTTCTGGCGAACTCTCTTATATCTTCAGTTGTATTTAATAATCTTTGGTTTTTGGAAATAGAGGCGGATTATTCGACGATTAAGAGGTTGCAATGGCCTTGCATTCGTCTCTGCATACTGCAATTAGTTTAAGAACCACATTAGAAAAAGAAAAAAAAAACAGAAAAAAAATCTTTTCTATGTAATCAAAGGATGGAAGCACAGACAGCCACTTACATCATACACAGACACTCGAAGTAGGTCTATCTGTTCTCTTGAAACTGTCCCAAACTGCATTGAAGCAATTAAAATTTAGGTAAGGAGCTAATAAGATAACGTTCTTGGCCCGCACGCAAGAAATAGAAATTAAAAAAGACTAATTCAATTAAAAAGAAAAGGCCTATAGTTGAAGAGGGTTACTTGTTTGCTCATGATCCAAATAACGCCTTCAGTGCATGGAGGAATGGTGAGTGAGCCTATGTATCTGTAGTAGTTTTTGCCATCCAATTCTACTATTTCTGCAGGATCAATCACCCCAACGCTTCTCTCTATCTTTTTATCAGTCATAGATGCTATATCCCTCGTCAACTGAAAATTCAGAGCCAGCAAATGTTAAAGATTATTAGGACGTGTCTCCTGAGAAGACTTCACTAATTTCTTAGAAATTTTATATTTAAAAATTAAAAATGTAAGCTCTAAATGATGATTCTGCACCCTAAAACAAATCAACTGTTAATAAATAATATCGAATTAAGTGGTAGAAAATTGAGTGGAAGTGAGGTTTTCATGACGCATCATGTCTTTAAGAAAGATTAGATGTCCTGTACGGTGTATATTCTTACGCCTATATATAGCATGGCATGTGATGTATGCAGTATATTAACGCATATAGTATGCGATTTGACGCATGATAATATTTTGTATTAGTGATAACAAGCTAAAAAACAATTGTCAAAAATTAATACAAATCGGGCTAAGTGGTGTAATGTAGGAGGCTCTTTCACCTTTGAGAGGAAGGCATCAGGGCGACCAATCTGGTAGAGGACTCCAACAACAGCAGTATTGCTTTCCACTTTCGGATCCGGGCTTTGATAAACCATGTGGAGCTCCATATCATACCTAACACAGGAAACTAGATCATGAGACATATCAACATACAAATTTTATGCGTCACAATTTTGTGGTATTAAGAGAGACAGAGACCTCTTGCCATTAATGGAATGCTCGGAGGGAGAGTGCCAGTGGCTTTGTTTTAAGAAATACTGAATGCCATTGATCTCAATCGATCCGGCGTTGCCTGCCCACTCAAGCTGCATCCACCACATAAGTATGATTATGAACTACCCCTTTGCGTAATTCATATCTCCTAAATATGATGAACTTCAGAGTTTCCTTAATTACCTTAATGTCATGGCCTCTATTCTTGAGAGTGGCATTAGAAGGCTTGTAAGTCCTCTTTAGCTCCACTAAGCTTGGGAGTATTTGAAAACTCTTACCTGGCAAGTCTATTGGAGATTGCATGCCTCCATGTTTGCATGCTGCCCATTCTTTCTTGATCTCTCCCCAGTAAGCTGGCCCCTTCTTGCTTCCCTCAACATAATCAAAATCTCTCTCATCCTCTGCAGCAATATAATATATATATATATATATATATATGTATGAGCAACTCAATCTAAGAACTGCTAATTAAATGTTAAAGAATAAAAGCATGTATTTTCATTCTGCATACCAACTTCTTGAGCTTTGACAACTGATATTGTCAAATGTGTGAACAGAAGTACAAAAACTAGAAAACAATAAATGATGAAGATGGGTTTGCTTCGATGCTTCATGTTGATCATTTATCAGATAAAACATGCAAGTCTTTGTGATGCTCTGATCAGTAGGAGTTTTTGATTGGTATATATAGATAAAAACCACTGCAATTAAATTGAGGACAAAAAAGGGAGAAGCATTGCGGTCACAAGTTTTATGGATAGTCTTGGGCGGTATAACATGAGACGTCTTAAGAATGCCACATAAATTACAAAGGCAATTGTATTGTACACTGCCAGTTTTGATACCGAAAGTTTTGCATGATTTTGATCAATGAGGAAAAGCCGGTAAAACTTAGACGAACACGAGCTGGGTAGAGTTTGGGTTGATTTTAGGTCTAAATCTCATCACGCTTGAGAAGACATGTAAAAGGAAAGTTTCACAATCCAAGGATTTCACTTTGGTTTATATTACTTTGGAAACTCAAAACCCAAAGTAATTGCATCTGTTTATGCCAAACAGAAAATAAAGTAAAATTTGTTTGGACAAAGAAAATAAAGTAAATGCATAATTTGGAAGTTTAACATGGGCTTAGCTAAATTGGCTAGAGCGGACGTGCTCTCCACTCTACACTCGAGTTTGAATCGCCCTCCCATAATTTAGATTAAATTAAAATTAGAATATTGTTTGTATTATAATATATATATATATATACACACACGCTTGAGCTAGCAATACAATGAACCTTCATGTTCTTCTTAATTTCTCTCATAAATAGGAGGATTTCTAAACAACTAGCCATACACATGCATGCATCTAGAAAATATTCTAAAATCTAAATTATTTCCCAACAATATATCATGCAAAATATATTGATGTATAGGTCAATTAAATGATTTTTCAGGGTATAAAAAAGCACGACTTGGATGATCCCTTTTATTTTATATACTATTCAGAAAAATCAAACGAAGGATCGTGTCTAGAAATAACGTCAGTCTTAGTTATAAAGTGTTTTGAAGTCTTGAGAGTTTTTTTTATGCTCTCTTTTCACATTAGAGGAGGTTATTCTCTTAATATATGTATAGATAAATACAACTACAGGACTATAATGGATGAATCTTGATCTTAGTATCATTAATAGTCATGAAGGATGCTACATAAATTTTAAACTTGTGATGCTAATTACAATGAGAGTGTTGTAGAAGTTTTTTATTCACTTTAATTACTAATTAAGGCATTACAAGCAAGATAGATCCTAAAGGACTATGTCTCAAATTCTATAATTTTTAAATTTGTACTATGAGTCTTAAGAAAATAAGGAAACAAATGATTAAATGAAAGAATTTATCGATGATGATTATTTGGTCTAGTGACACCGAGCCTCTTTTTTTTCGGAGAATATTAGAGTTGCTCAAACAAACATTCAAATCATAACACCCTTCACAGTGAGCATTCAAAATTGACTTGGCATCACACCACAAAATTCACCTTAATTGTAAGGATTATTTTGCCCTTGTTTTTTAATCTAAGACAATATAATATCAATTATATTATATAACTAAGGGAAAATAATAGAGAGGGTGAGAAGTAGAAAAAGGCAATGAATAAAAACTGTATTTTCAGGATTATAGCATTTACTTTAGCATAGAAACTACCCGAAATTGTAAACCAACTTTGCAGATAACCAAGCTAGCTAGCAATGCCAAATAAAAACAAAGAAATTAAAAGCTAGTTTAAATACAACTAACACTGAATTCAAGAATCAAAATCAGACAATCAATATAAATAAAGGAAGTCTAAGAGCTTCATATACCCAAGCGTTTATCATAAGAATCAGAATCTCATCCTAAATTCAACCCGAGTTAATTACAAAAGGTGTGTACTCATTATACCAAATTAATTTAACTCTAGTTACAACGAGTGCTATAATGTAATATTGCTAATTATGTACATTGCAGTGACTCTTAACTTTTACTTTGGACTTGCACTTGAATTAGTGAGACTTGCCTACGCATATTTAGTTCGCTTCAATATCTCACATAAATTAGAGTAGTCAAATTAGTTAACATCTTTCTACCAAAAAGAACTCACCCAATACAAACAAGCAGTAGAAGTTGTGTTTATACTTTTAGCATATACGCAGTTGTATTTTGTTGCAGCAGATCATGCAATGCAAACAGTTCGTTAAGAAGTCAGTTGTTTATTATTTAGGATATAAAAAAGCATGACTTGACTTGAGTGCCTCACACTATTTGTTTTACTTTTGGTTCACATTTGGTGTGTTTTCGAGAATATTTTACAGCCCATACCCGCCCTTAATTTGCGAATAGAAGGCTGCAAATGTAATTTTACAAGTTCTATTTTTAGGATGCGGCTGAGACTTCAGAAAACAAAAACGAGCATCAAAAAAGCCAAACAAGACGTATATCACTTTTTTTTTTTTTTTTTCTCTGTGATTAAAGAAATTGACATGAACAGAACCTGCTTCAATATGGTCTGAAATCATTACCAGAAAACAAAAAGGGTCAGAAAGTTGGACATTTTCCAACGTGACCGCTTAAATTTCAAATACAACTACAATGGCCATGAACAAAAATAAAAATGCAGATCAAATTTACTTTCATCTAACTGAAAACAAGGTGATGTAGCCTCATTTTCTACCAAAAATAAGGTCCATCTCGAATTCCCCCAGCTGCCAAACATTGGCTTCACAATAAGACAAAAAAAAAAAAGGATAAATGAGCTGTACAGCTGGCAGTAAAAACAAATCGCATGAGAATAGATGACTAGTCATTTCGGTTGACTAATCATACCGCTTAATATTTAAATGAATGCACAGTATGATTTTTACCTTTAAGGATCTCGATTCCATTTGAGCCATGACAAGATTAATCTCAATTTCTGTAATCATCTTGAGTGCAGACTTAACATAGCCTAAATTACTTGAGCTTGATTGATTACATAAGAGATTACAAGTTTGTCAAGAAAAGCTACAACCATTAGCTAAACACAACCTAACAGAGCCAATAATAGAATTCATTTTCTCTCTGTTTTCTTCATTACCTCTTCTGTATTTTATGATCTTCATTTTATCTCTGTTTTTTTCATTGCCTCTTCACTATTCTCTGATCTTACCACAAACACCCACATGCAATTCTTCTTTTTGAACAACTATATCATTTTGTATTTTTTCTCAAGATTGTTTTTGGATTCACTCTTTTCTTGCACCTCAAGACATTGAAACCAATCGATCCTCTTAGTGAAAATTTTAAGTTAATCAAAAGGAAACTTGGGATATGAATATGAGTATGCAAAGCTGATTAAGCAAGTATATATGTAAGTACAATTTAATATAATTCGGGATGTCTATATAGTACACTAGGTTTAGTCCAATCTTTCTCAATTTATTCTTCCACATAACTAGTGAATTGATTTTATAATACTATATTTAGTTCACTCCAATATCTTATGTAAATTAAAATATATTTGAATAAAATAAGAAAATGGTGTTATACCCACCCATATAAGCAAAGATTAAAATCTCAATCTTACCATTACTTATCAATTCCAACAAGCATTATTTATTCTAATATATCATGCAAATGGTTGGTTAATAGGTGAAATTTATTATTTCAGGGTATACAAGCATGAAGGGAGTCATCACACTATTTGTTTCTCCAATTGTTCATATTTTGTGTGTTTTCAAGACTAGCTGAGGAAACTTCACTTTGATTTTCTCAAGAGTTCGAAAATTTTCATAAAACTCTAATGATAATAAGAGCATCTACAATGGGCTCCCTAAACCAACTCCTTAGACAAATTTTAGGGAGGAATTATAAAAATTCAACTCCGACCATGCTCCCTATCCACTTCATAAAATAGGGAGTCCTCTAGGAGCTCCTAAATCTGATGAGAGAGAAAGGACTCGTAGTGACTCTTTATAATTTAATACTTCTTTATTTAATGAGTATTTCAAACCTTTATTTAATGCTAACCATTTTTTATTTTATTTTTTAATAAAGATTGACTAATCAAAAAAGAGTTATAGCATTTATGACTCTCCAAATTATGGAGTATGGTTGGAGTTAAAATTTTTTAGAGAGCTCCTAAAATAGCTTTATTATATTTTTAGCTAAATTTTAGCTAAGAAATAGAGAGCATCATTGTGGATGCTCTAATACTTGGGATAATTGTTGTTGTTGTCACTGTTGTTCATACTTATGCTTATTTCTATTATTGTCATTATTAAGGTGTGAATAATCTTTACACATTTTTTACGTGGGAGACAATAGATAAACAAAATATAAAAAAATTCCATTCATTTTTTGTCAAAAAAATCTAAGTGATGAGTTTCAAGGTATTTTACATATGTACACAAAAAATTTATATACAAATCGAGTTTCATCCTATTTTTCCTTTCTTTCAATTCAAACCCCACACACAACTGCAAACTTTTATATGATATATTAAAATACAGACATTTAATATAATTTATCAACGCGTTATAACATGAGTGAACAACTATAACTACTCCTTATATATATGCATTATTTGCTTCAAAATTTTCCTCTGTATTGTCTGAGTTGTCCTCTATAGACTACGGTATACTTTTTCTTTGGCTGTCTACCTCATTTTTGAAACCTAAATATTTCTTTATCTTTTAAGGCATGTTAGGAAGAAGGGGATCTTTAGGGGCCCAACTATTGGATTGATCATTGATGGGGGGTTGAAGAAGTTGTAGTGCATTTTGAGCAACTTACTAGGAGCGTAGAACTATCAGTCTCTAGTTTACCAAAAAGCCCTTGACTGCTAATCAGCGACTTCAAGTTGAAGCAAAGGCAACACACACAGATATATATATATATATATATATTATACATTTGGGATCTACCTAATCATCTACATCCATAAATCTTCTTTCAGTCAAAGAGGTAGGACCAAACATGTAATAAGAGTCAAAAAGGGCATCAAACGTACGTATTAGTGGGCCGATGAGGATCAGGTACCAGCAAATTCACTACTCCAATGATTTCAGCAAGAGAACGTTGTATTGTATATATTAAGAACATTATCCAAAAGCACATTCTGATAAAATATATATATATACATAAATTCTCCTATGCAGACATTCGGACGTTATTATCG